CGAAATTTGCCGTTGTCTTGCCGCTAATTATAATAAGTAGGCAGTGAAAATTGAAAATATGTCGCCACGATATTTAAATAAAAAAAAAGTCGCGGCATATATTTTCTTCGAGGGGTCAACCACCAGTGGCAGTTGGTGTACAAACAGGTGGCAGTACTGGCATTATTAGGCAGTAACTAACAATATTTGGCAGTATCTAGAAGTCTTTGTCATTTATAGCGACATCTGTCGGTGGTATTTTTTCGTAAAAATCGTTGCCTATAGTTAAACGATAAGAACCATTACAGGCAGTAATGGCATTTTTAGGCATTTTCAGCAGTAAATGACATTATTCAGAAATTAATGGCATTACAAGTAGTAAATGGCATTATTTGGCAGTAAACGACATTATAAGCAGTTAAAGGCATTATTTAGCAGTTTGGCATTTGGTGTACACATTTTTACTATTTGGTTTGCCTGAGGGATCAACTAATAGTGGCAGTTGGTGTACAAACAGATGGCAGTACTGGCATTATTGGCAATAAATGGCATTATTTGGTAGTAAGGAGCATTATTCGGCAGTAACAGCATTATTCGGCAGTAACAAGCATTATTGGGCAGTAACTAGCAATATTTGGCAGTATCTAGCAGTATTTGTCATTTATAGCGACATCTGTTGGCGGTATTTTTTCCTAAAATCGTCGTCTATATGTAAACGATAAGAAACATTACAGACAGTAATGGCATTTTTAAGCATTATCAGAAACAAATGGCATTACAAGCAGTAAATGGCATTATTCGGCAGTAATCGACATTATGAGCAGTAAACGCCATTATTTGGCAGTTTGGCAGTTGGTGTACAAATATTTACTAGGTGGTTTGCCCCTCGATTTTCTTTTTCCATGACAACTAATTTCAGTAGTAAACTTTGGTAGTACCCACGTGAACGTGTAATAGTATTTCACATTATTTGCCAGGCAAAACAGTTTTTACTGGCGATTGAAGGAAATGACTAGCGAGCCGTCAGGCGAGCTTGTCACCTTCAAGAGCCAGTAAAAACTGCTACCTGGCGTATAATGTACAACAATTTATTTGTTACTCTTCCAGAAGGTACCCACAGGCAATAATTATTCTCGAGATAAAACTGATTTTTTGAAAATAAATAATTCTACTGACTTGTAAAAATTTTTTACAGTTTAGCTGTCAGTTTTACAAGTCAGAACAGGCAGTAGCTTGTAAAAATCAATTTTCGTTGTTTATGTTTTGACTTGATAAGTGATGTTTTACAAATGAGTGACAAATAAAAATTATTACTGGTTCACTGATTCAGGAATAATATCAGGATAGCATAAAAGTGCAGTTTGGGATAGGCCAGGCAGCATAATAACCACCGTTTTTGGGTACGTAACTAGACTAAAAAAAAACATCGGAGGACACATCCGTACGGAGTTTCAGCAGCTCTCGAGAATTTGATTGAGAATGTCTGAAAAAAAGTTTCAAGAAATACAATAAAAATTGGACCCATACCTAATCCAAAAATATCGTACCTACTTTTATACTCATTTTGCAAGAAGGGGCCATGTGGGGAAGGAGCAAGAAGCATATGCCAAATATAAAATTGTTGAGAAAACCGAGAAAACCTCGAATAAAACTGCAATTTTGAAAATTATTATTTATTTGCAATTATTTGTACTTTTTCTGTCTACAGGCCGGTTTTTCAATAGTGAGTACCCTCCGGATTGGTTTTAACTGAGATCAACTCCAGGGTAAACGTGTCCAGTTGCTATGTTTATCTTGGAGTTATGCTTAATAATTCGGGGTGACCTACTATTGGGAAACCGGCCCAATATGAGTTTATGTACATGTAGTTTGTCAACTTTTTACACAACGAACGTGAATTGGGATATGAAGATGTTATGGCTGTCATCTCAAAAATGGTTCAATTGCCACTTGGCTCCTTTTTGCTCTACAGAGGCGATATGCTCCAATTTTAATTGGTCAACTTTCAGATTCAGATTCAGATTCTTTATTCATGCTTAGTGATGTGAACAAGGGAACGTTCTGATTGTGCTTTCGAGAACATTCGCGAACGTTCGCGCACGAAAAAAAGGTACGTGCTGAATATTACCTTCAGAGCACAATGAGCACGCTAGAGAATATTCAGCACGTTCTCAAGCACGATCCTAACCAATAGAATCAAATGACGCCATAAAGTAGAGATATATTTATGGAAGCTGTTGAAGGCGAAGATATAATATCGAATATTGAGCCCGAGAATCAGGAAGCAACTTAGCAGCAATAGTTATTTTTTTTTGGAGGCAAAGGTAGCGTTGTACTGGAATATACTCAAACTAAAATCACTATTTTATTTTATTATCAAAAAAAAAGAATCCTAATGATAATTTTATGTTGAAGTTTCACAGAAAACCCCAAATTCGAATAATTATTGTTATCAAACATGACACAAGACACAATTCACAAATTATGTGATTAATTATGTATTAAGTAGGTATATTTTCCTAAGAAGTTTGAGAACTTTCAGCACATTTATCAAGAATTTTCAGAATATTCAGAACTTTCACGAGAAATTTGGGAATTTCGGGAAATTTGAGAAAAATCAGAATTTATTTAGGAAAATGTTTTGTTTTATTCAGCTTCTGATAAAAAGCATAAATTCTCGGGTCCTGCTCGTTTTTGCTCGTTTATTCTCGTTAATTCTCGATCCTGCTCGGAGAACGTTCTCCTAAAATACTTGCTCGAGCATTTTACATCACTATTCATGCTAATGTTTAAAATACAATACTTACACAAGTCAATAATAAATCAGTGAAAAGATTATTGCTTTCGAAGTAGTGCAGTATTTGAGCAGAAATGCACTTTTCGAAAACCTTTGACGGAACAGGGAGCAAAGAAATAGGCCTATAGTTGCCCACATCATCCCTTTCCCCCTTGCCCTTGTAAATTGGAACAACCCACGCACACTTCAGTATATTTGGGAAGTACATACTCTCAATACACTGATTTATGAATTTAGTTAGAGGATAAATAATAATTTCTCGTATTAATTTTAATAAAGGGACAATAAGATTAAAAATATCCCAGCTAGTTTTGTTTTTTAAGTTTTTTATTATATCCCTAATCTCCACAAAGGTCACTGGTCTAAAAGTGAACCCCGGTCCCTGTTTGTCCCTGAATGACCAGGAGCATTATCACTGGTTCTCAAGTCCCTCAAGAGTTCCTGTGCTATGTTTACAAAATATTCATTGAAGTTCTGTGGAGAAATGTTAACATTGTGCGGACTCTCATCCCTACCCAGGCCTTCCCTAATTACGTCCCATATGACTTTGGAGGGGTTATTTGCATTCTGAATGCGAATGTCATTGTGCGTTTTCTTGGCATCTTTTATTGCTTTTTTGTACTGTCATCGGTAAAAGTTACGTTGCTGTAATAAAGCCTGAGTTGGACTAGCCCTATAAAGATCATTTGTGAAGCAGACCCACTCCCTGAATTCTCGTAAAGTCACTAAACCAAGGGCATAAGCTCTTAGTAGTTCTTACCTTATATATTTTTTCAGGAAAAGCAGATTCAAAAGCCTCCGACAGTACATTTATAAAATTTTCAGCCTTAGCATCAAGAGTTTTGGACATATCATCAAGAAAATTCCAAGTGATTCCCTCAACCAACCTAAAAAAGTTAAGTTTGCCTACCTCTGTTATCGGACTACAGATTCTATGAACAGGAGACAGTCTCAAGCTGCCCTTGCAAGGTGTAGGGAGCGCCAATATTTGAGCAGTGTGATCAGACAAATTGAAATCTATACTCTCTGTAATACATTGGTCTAGCTCTTCAAAATTATTCAGAAATATGTTGTCCAAACAATTGGGACCTTTAGTTGATTCCACAAAATATTGGGTCAGAAAATATGATGGTAATACTAGATTTTGGGTAGAATTTTTAATAGTAGTTCTTCAAACTTTTATTCAGACATTCTCAAATGATTTGTACTTAGATCCTTCTTTATCCTTAAAAGCAAGTTCTTTAAGAATAGCTGCTAGAACTCCATACTGATGTCACTTTTTAATCCAGTTGCGTACCCAAAAACCGCGGTGTTTATGCTGTCTGGCCCTCAAACTACTAACACAAGTTGATCTATTGAATTCAAATCATGAGAACGCACCTTTATCCAAAATAAGGTAGGTACTTTGATATAGATAATTTATCCATCAAAAAATATATACAGGGTGTCCCAGAATATGTGGACAATCTCCTGGATTCAGACAGAACACAAAAAAATAATATGACAACTTCCCATAATAAACAAAGTTCCTACAGCCTTCTCTACAAAATTATGTGCCCTTGAAGGACGCCTCTGAAAATAATTTTTTTGTTAATAACTTTTAAAATACTTTGTGTAATTTTTTTTCCATTCAATATGATGGATACTAGATAAGACCTCGGATAAGAGTGATAAGACCCCTTGAAATAGACCCTCCTAAACACATTTGGTCAATTCAGTTTGCCAAAAAAATTCATTATTTTAGGTACCTACCTAAGCTGCTATAAGTTTGCTAAGTCCAAAAAATTTGTACAAGAAAATCTTTGACAAGAAAGGATATTTGATATGTACAAGAGCCCAATCAGGTATACCCCTCGGTATACCCAGTAGAATTTAAAAAACAAATGGATTAATGCAAGAATAATTATTGGAATAAATGAATAAAATCAAATCAATTGATCTCGCAATTGATGTTGGCACGAAGTAGGTCAACTTAGCAAGTTTTGTGGCCAATCATTAGGTTATATTTTTATACTTCTTAAAACACCCATATTTATGAACGAAAGCAAAAATTCAATTAGGTAGGTATGCCTAAATTCACAGAATTTTTAGTTTATTTTCAAGTTAAAAGGGAAATACCGGTGAATCCTAGAATACCTACCATTATCAACCCATACCAAACATGAGGTAGGTGTTGTTCCTTAAATTTACATAAAAATCCGTTAAAACTTGAATAACAACTTACCCTATCATAGAAAAATCTATCATCTTGCCCACTGATCCTCGGATCCCCAGGGGTTCCATAATGGTAATTGTTTTGCTGTCCATACCTTCGCCCTTTATAAACAAAGGTTCTATAATCCTTATCGCCAGGGTTGGGTATATTGTAAGGCACATTATTATAATTTTCTTGGCCATAAATGTTATATGGGTTCTGTTGGTTAGGTGGTATTTGCGGATAACCGTAACCCCATTGATCGTACTGCCCTAGAATAATATCACTCACAAACACTATCACAAATAATAACACAAGTTCGATCTGTTGTTGTCGCGGGACCGCCATATTTGCTTGTTTACGTTTACCTGGGGCCAGCGCTTCGTCACGTCAGAGTTTGCTTCGTCTACCTATACCTGGCTGACGTCATTACAAGGTGGACCCACTATATTTTAAACCGCAGTCTGCACGGCATGCTAGCAATAAACCATGTGGTAGTACTTCGATGCAATTGCCAGTGCTGTTTATTAGTGACTAATTATGAACGAATTATTAGTGACTAATAATGAACGAATACTTTCGATGAATGTGTATGACACACTTTTTTCCTGGGAAAACACCTAATCTACACGACTATATTTCGTTATCATATCGTGTCAACTAATAAATATTGTGTAATTAGAACAAGAAAACCTTCCGTTTCGAACACCCAGAGATATATAATAACTAAAAGCTTTCTTTAATGATCGTGATGGACGTCTTGTTCGAGTTAATTTCTCCTAATTACGTTTCAACTCGTGTAATTACCTAATTGACCCTAAGATATTTCGTTATGTATCTACTGTGAACTTGCATCAACTTAATGAACAGTTTAATTCAAATGCAAAGGCTGGGTTAATTCAGTTCGGATGTAAAAATTATCTCAGTTGTTTTGTTATGCCATTATGCTTGATTCCTAATTTGTTTTCATTTAGGTATTTATTAAAAAATAAAGTTAAAATAAAATGTAAAGTGAATTGTTTATGATTTGAAACATGTTTGGAAGGTACATATTCATACAAATGGATAATGATGAACGGTTGAACCGGGCACGCAAATCCATTGTTTACCACGGTAGAGATGGTTTGCTATCTGTAACGACCGCAGTAAACAAATGTTACCGAAGTCCCGGTTTATTCCACATACATTCCTTACTACGCTTCTATCGTAGTAAATAATATAGTCCAATTCACGGCGTACACTATACTATTGCTTAGTGCAACAAAGTACATTTCTAGAAGCGAATTGTTGAGTTCCAGTGCGTTTTTGCAGCTTGAAAAATTTATTATAATCATACGACGACGCCAAGTTAGATCCGTTAGCTAAGTTGTTAACTATCCGATGAGCTGTTCATGTTCATACGCGATACGCCATTTCGAAACAGATGCGTCCTAAAGAAAGACTCAAATTTGACTAGAAAGAATAAGGAGCACGATAAGCACAAAAGTGGAAATACGAGTCTGACAACTTTAAAAATCTGGTCAATGGTGTGACAAATGGATGGAAAAGTTTAGTGCGTCTACTGCTTCGAACTGATGGATCGTAAGATACCAATACCCTTCTGGTAATGTATTGAAATGCCAGTTCAATAGCTTTGAGAAAGTCGAGGTTCGTAAACGAAGTGATGCTCGAGTTCGCAATAGCAACTATGACGCAACTTAGAATATTTTTGCCAAAATAGCGCTAGAAGATGACATATCCAAATCCTTTCTCAAGAGTATAGAAGTGGATGCGCAGGAAGAGTAATTCAGGAAAGTATTTTAAACGACGTATCTGACAATGATACAATCGATATTCAACCAGAAAATGCCTCTGCTTCACCGTCTCCTGTATTTGAGGCTCCAGAAAACGATGGGAAACATCAATCTGCAGTGGCTGACATGACACTCAAACTCCAGCGAATTGCGAACATTACTGCCAGCTGTAATTCTGCAGAAATGACTAACACGATAATAAAATCAACCAGAAATATTAAAAAAGTAGAAGTAGTTTTTTTCATTCGCTGCCTCTACGAAGAGGAAATCGCATAGGGGTTCAACCTACTCTAGTATCCAGAAGGAAACTCCGACCTGGTTTAACCTCTGGAGCTAAACGGATGCCAGCAGGAAGACCAGAAAAGCAAGAATCCGCTATTAAAGAAAAAGGACGATATCTTTGCAAGCAAATATGCAAACAAACCGTTATGCCAAATCACATTAGAAGTTAACTTTTGGCGCTAAATACCTACTCTTGGTTTTATGGGCAACAGTGCAACCGAAGTGCACAAATCAATATTCGTCAGTTTTACTTGTTTATGTTATTAAATATTTTGTAGCCTTATAACTTAAAAATAAAAACAGCCACCCTAAATTACCTTCTTGAAATCCGGCTGAATTGGCTTTCAAGTCGTATCTGGTCTTCATTCGGTCATTGGCCAGCTGAATATGCTCCCGAGCTAAATCGTGTATTCCCAGGAGTCGTGCCAACAATATTGGTGAAATATTATATTTACATATTGGCCCAAGGATGGAAACGACAGATTTTTTAATGGCCCAATATATATTGTAAATATGAATCCGATATTGAAGAAAAATATTGTCCCAATATTGCTAAATAATAAACATGTAATATTGCTTTTAGAAATATACCCAATATTTGTTTTTCAGATTGGCCCAATGTATACTTTTTATATGAATACGATATTGAACATAAATATTTCTCCAATATTACCAATTAATAAATATGAAATATTTCTCCTATAAATATTTACAATATTTCCTAGAAATATTAACAATATTTCTTTGGAAAAACACATTTATTTAACCAAAGCTCCAACACCTGCAGACTAGACCGGTTTCCGGTTTCGAGCTTGTTAGCGAAGCACACCAACTTAAAGAAACAGGTTTGAAGGAAACTCAAACGCCAGGAGAGATCAAGGCCATCAGTAACGCGTGGTGCCCTGTCTCGGTAGTCCTGATTGATATGGAAATGGTACATCTCCTATATATCACCAATATTGGATAAATATTAAATATAAACATGAATAAAAGTTATTGCCAAACATGGATAGGATCCAATATTGGATCAATCTTGGATCCACATATTATATTATAATAATGTAGGAAAAAGGTTAATATCCAGTATATTACCAATATTGGCTACAAATTGCCAATATTGAACCCATATACAATATTTTACCAATCAATGTTGGGCCAATATGGATAAAAATATCACTGTTATATTAGAAAAATTTGTTTTGCTATTATATATCCAATATTGGCTTAATAATGCATATAAAAACATAATCTGTGCATATTGGTCCATTAATGGATACAATACTACGGTAATATTAGAAAAAGTTGTATTGCCAATAATCAACCAATTTTGTCTAAATAATGTCAATAAAGATATTTTTTCTGTATATTAGCCCATTCTTATGTAATTATAATATTAGAATGTGGAAAAATATGTATTGCCAATATTGGCTCAATAATACAAAAAAAAAAAACATTTTTTTTGTGCTTATCGGTTCAATGATGGATAAATATATCACTGTTATATAAGAAAAATTTGTATTGCCAATATGTAACCAATCTTGGCTATATGCTGCCGATAAAAATATTGTTTGTGCATATAGGCCCATTCTTGGATAAATATATTATTATAATGATGAGAGAAGTTGTATTGACAATAAATGTCCAATGTTGGCTAAAAAATGCCAATATTGGGCCAACATACAATATTGGTCCAATGTATCTGCAAGATGGGACCAACATTGTGTGCAACTGGGGTAATTTCAAATTTCTTTTCGTTCTTCAGGTATTCCAAACATCAGATCGCAAGGTAACCCAAGTTCCCTTCCAAAAACGATTCTAGCTGGACTTTCACCAGTTGGCTCGTGAACAGCTGCTCTATAAGCCATTAAAAATAGAAGCAAATGTTTGTCCAAATCCCGCTGGTTCTTTGCAACCACTTTTGTCAGGTGTTCCTCTATGGTCTTAGTTAATCGTTCTACCGTGCCATCAGACTGTGGATGTGAAAGTGTTATCCTTGTCTTATGAATGCCCATGATCTCACAAATTTTCTTAAAGATGGCAGATTCTAGTTTCGTCCCTGATCTGAATGTAACTCTAGTGGTACACCACGACGACTAAAAACTTCGTCCACTAGCACCTGAACAATAGTGATGGCTTCTTGATTCGGAATAGCGACTCCAAAATGTGCCCCTGAAGTTACGTCATGTATTTCTTTTAATACATCTTCTACTCGATCTTTTGGAATAACCAGTTGGCTCTTAGTAGATTTTTCATCACCCCTTTCCCAAATTCTTTTCAGTAAACCATTTTCTACGGCCAAATAATTCCACTGAGCCCACAACGCCTTGTAAATCAAACTGTTTTTCGACACATCCCTCCATTCTGGCTTACATTCATTATTTTCTTTATGGGGATGGAGAAATTGCCCCATGTCTTGGTCTGCTTCCTAATCTGCTCTCATTTGTTTGGTAGTCCATTTATCATCAACGATCAGACCCGTTCTTCTCACAGCCGAACCAGTGTTTTTCTCATGCATGTTGATTCGTTGCAGTCTTCTTTGCATAGCCGTCCAGACAGAGCGTTAGCATTTTTATGCAGGTTTCCAGGTCGATGTTTAATTTGGAAATCGTATTGCTGATGTAACTTCTCAATCCATCTAGCACGCTGTCCTTCGGGAGTTTTTAATTCTAAAAGCTATTTTAGAGCTGCGTGGTCCGTTCGAATTAGAAATTTACGTCCGCAGAGATACTTATGGAACTGGTCGACTGCTTTTACTATGGTGAGCAACCGCTCGCGTGATAGTACCGCTTTAATACTGATGTTGCTTGCATCTGTGTCCAAAATCAACATGCCCTTCTGATTGGGATAGGACAACACTGGGCTTGTACATAATGCTTAATTTTCTGAATGCGGAATCGCTTTCTTGGGTCTAATTGAATGTTGATTTTTCTTCCATTAATCGATGAAGCGGATTAGCTATATTGGCGAATCTTTCCACAAATCTTCGATAATAAGAACATAATCCTAGAAAACTCTTTAGTTCATGTTTGTCGCGTGGTTTTGGCTAATCCCCGATAGCATCTATTTTTCCTTCCATAAGTTGTATGCCATCTTCAGATTCCACGTGACCCAAGAATTCCACTTTATTTTGAAATAGAAAACACTTCTTTGGGTTGAGTTTCAAGTTGACATTCCGGAAGCGGTCAAAAACTTCTTTCAGGTTATTGAGATGTTCTTGAAAAGAATTTCCTATGATCATGACATCATCTATAAATATACCAGACAAGTTCTCCATGTAAGGCCTCGCAAAACTAGATGCATCAGTCGCTCAAACGTAGCGGGAGCAATACACAATCCGAAAGGCATTACGTTAAACTGGTATAACCCGCTTCTGGTACTAAAGGCAGTTTTCTCTTTGTCATCTTTGTGTATTGCCACTTGCCAGTATCCACTCTTAATATCCAAGGTGGAAAACCATTTGGAGCCCGATAGAGTTGCTAATGTATCGTCTATCCTAGGGAGAGGGAAGCTGTCCTTCTTGGTGACGTCATTAAGCTTACGGTAGTCCACATAAAATCTAAGACTTCCATCTTTCTTCGTAGCCATTACTACTGTCGCAGACCCATGGACTATTTCACTCTTCAATAATTCCCTCTTGAAGCATTTTATCAATTTGGTTTTCCACTTCCTGACTTCCTGTTGTTTAGCTACCGACATACGTCGAGGTGGTTGTCTAATTAGGTGTGTGCCAATCCAGTATCAATTTTGTGTTGAATTAAACTGGTCCGTCCGGTTTGATTATTCATCACAAATACGGAAATACGTCTGCTTCTCTCAAAATGAAATCTGTCGCTTCTTTGAAGTTTATCTGGATCGGGATGTTTCTATGATTTCGACAAAGTCTGCATCAAGGTGTCTGTATCCAATTTCGATTTTTCAAAATGTCGCTTATCTGGTAGGTCAAAGTTCGATATTTGTTTAACTGGTTCGAGAGTTCCAATAATATCTCCCTCTTTTATTTTTACATTGGCAATACTTATCATAATGTATCCATTTGTTCTTACTAGAGTCTTTCAAACGAGAAATTTTTCTGGTTTATCTCCAATAAAATTCTGTGCTAGTCCAACGCTGCACCCAGGGTTTGTTTCCAATTTTCCGTAAATGATCTTCTCAGTACTTCCAGGAATCCTCACTGGGTTTGTGGCCAGGATCTTAACGGCTTGAAATTCTTCTTGTGTAGTTAGGACAAATTCTTCATTACCAAATTTAAGGATGTTCATAGAATTATCGAAGGAGAAACCATGTTGGCCG